CTCCATGATGTCATAATAGGGCCCAGGTATGTCAACGAGCATGTGTGATGTCTAGATCTTCAAACACATGCAATCCATTTTTGGCATCTGGCTGAATCTAGAGGCTCTAGTAGGGCCTTTGCAACCTGTAGGTTGCCTGACTGATTGTACTGCTGGGACACGTCCTGGGTCTTTTTAGTCCATCAGAGAGTATATTCCTCCTGGAAGCCCCAGGGGATACTCTTCTTGGTGGCAGCAATCAGGAGGCCAATAAACCAGTGATAATTTTCCAGTGTCACACCGTGCAAGTTTCAACATCAGTGGGTCTCAAGCCCGACTCTGTGGGATCGCTTACAGGGACAAGGATAATGCATTTAATGGTACATTCCTTGGTCTTTCTACAGAGGCTGCCATAATACATGATTATGATTGCTGGCTGTGATGCAACTGCTTAGAAATGGATTGAGGTCGAACTCATTTGACATAAACCACTGAACAGATAACTTTAGCAACATGTTTCAGAAACTACCAACTGGGATTTGATCTAAAAATTAAAGTTTAGAGGTGAAACAACACTCCCTGGCCTTGTTATGTCTATATTAGTTATTTTCCCCCCACCACCACGAGGACCCTGACTGACAAATATGTAAGCCCTGAAAGTTCAATTTGGTCTTTAAAAGGCACAGCTATATCTCTAAATATATGCCTCCACAATTTAAATATAAAACAGATGAAATACAGATAAGCATCATGGGACAAGAGCTTATTCCATAAACTGAATATGCATCACAAAAGTGTATTCCCCAAAGATTCCAAAGGTTAGGTGTTATTTTATTTCCCCCATCCTCATAGTCTGAGTTATTTTTAAAACAAAGAAAACTAAAACAGCCACAGCCTGTCTTAAGAGGAAACTGCAGGTGCTCAAAGTATCTAAAAATCTGGCCATTTTTATGGGAGCCACATTATGGATTTAGACACCCAAGGCTGGTCACCAATGGTGCAGGCAGAAGTGACAATTTTTTGCCTAATCTGGCCAAAGAAAGTGGTTTATAGGCATGACCAAACACAAGTGCACAGCTGCAGACTGATTAAAAAAAATGTCCAACTGGGTTAAAATCTGAACCCTAATTGCATGAGGGGTCAGATGAAGACATTTCAAAACAGAGTGTCTTCTGTAATTTGTGTCTATGCTGCCAGCCAGCCTGTTGCTGTTTTCAGAATGGGAGGGGGGAAAAGAAGCGGATGGAGTTTGGTTTGGGGTTTTTTCAACCCCGACTGGAGGGTGGGGTGGGTGTATTGGAACCCAATTGGTTGCAATTCATCCACCCCATCCTCCAGTGCCATCTTGGGAACCCCTAGAATGAGCTCCTTCTGCTCCCTTTCCCCCCTCCCATTCTGGAAACAGCAACAGGCTGGGAAGGAGGAGGGGCCATTGCTAGCGAAACCAGCTGCAGGCTCCCAACCAGCAGCTGGAGTCCCTTCCCCCCAGGAGCCAACAGCGAACTTCCATTTGGTCCAGGGGATCATTGTAACTCAGAATACTTCCTGCAAAGCATTCTCAATTACAGCAAGGAGCTGCACTTCTGTCTGAGTGCCTAGTCTCCAGGTGTTGGGTAGCACTTTTTTCATAGTTAGTTTTTGGATTAAAACATTAGAACTGCGAGGTGATCTCATGGCGTTTGTGTAGTTTCTCTTTTGCCTCCCCACAAGCACGCAACTCCTCCTCGCACTTCACTGCACTGGCAGGAGTAGGTCCCCTTATAGCATAGTTTCACTTCCTTTCCAAGTGAGCTCTGCTGTTAAAACTGGATTAGCACAGTTCCTATAGGATTGGAATAATCCAGCTAGAGACAAGAGGCTACTCTTTGCATCATCTATTCATCTTTACTTAATTTTGGTGAAACTTCTGTTTTAGCACAGATATTTCACTAGTTTTATCTGTCTCTCTATTTGAAGGATTTCTCCTAGGGCCTAACAGCAATGCCTATATGTAATACCTTTATTTCAGTGGGAGTTGTGAGCACTCAGTCCCTCTGGTAATTGTTATACAACATCTGAACAATTAAAGGCAACTAATCTGTGAAATGTGTGAAATAATAAATACAAATAGATGCGTCTGAAGGCGAGGCTCTTTCACTTAGCAGTCATAGAGAGTGTCATTTTTAGTTGCTTTAGAAGTCATGTTCTTTACAGCCATTTCAGTGTGAGAGAGCACGTGCTGGCTCTATTCCAACTACTGTTCCCTTTAGCACAGCAGGAGTTAAATCTGCTAATTTCAAAGGGGCTGGTGTCATTGCCCTTCTTTACAGTTCGTACCAAGAGCATGATAAATCATCTGATTTTGGAACCAGAAGACAAAAGTCATTTCATAACTCCATTTTCCTTCCTAAGACACTTCTGGCTAAAAAGTCCTTTGGCATGCTAATTTTGAAAGCATGTCAAAGGGAATTCTCTCTGATGAAAAACACTATGCAAGCAACTACGCTCTTAATATAAATGACATTAAGAGCAAATGTTTTCAGTTGCCATCATTAAAGACTGTGTGAATCCAAAGTCATGTTGTCCACAACACCAGCATGTATTTTAGGGAGAAGCAAAACAAAGCCATATGCTTCATATGACTAGGGATCCTGTAGAAAGGATAAGTTATTCTTAATTCAGAATGATGGAAATGGTCACTATCTCCCCTTTCTTTCAGTGGAAATAAAATAATGGTTCCACAGGAGCAGGTACCCATTTTGCCTCATGGTAATGTGAAAGTCCATGTTGCCTTTCACTCCACTGTAATAGGACTTAACTTTGTTAATCTCCTTGGAGCACTAAGATTATTTACTACAGAGGAGAAAAGTGATTTTACACCTTCTCACCCAACTGTTGCTGACCCCTGGAGAGGGGGAAAAAAAAAGGGAAAATACCTGGATTCCAATCTTATTCCAGCTTCTCTCCTCCGAGAATGAAGCTGGGCCACCATACACTCAAGCGGGATTCATTGAAAAAGAGCCCTGCTGCCACAGAGGAGCTTTGGTAATGGGAAAAAAAAATCACGCTTATAGTCTCTTTTGTGGAGAACTTCCCCCAGGTTTTAAAAACGTACTTAGCATAGTTTCTTCTCAAGTTTAATCTATGAGGCATTCTATACACCCATCACAAAGGGCCATTTCATTGTAAAAACAAAAAAAGGAGATGATTTAGTAAGAAAGCTGGACTGAACTGGGGGCGTGGGATATAACCCTCAGGAACTAATTGGATAATTCCACAGGAAAGCAGCAATAGGATGAGGGGGCTTGTGAAGAAGTAGTAACTAGGGGCTTTGTACATGGCATAAAGGAAAGAAGATTGCCTAAGCCTTCAGAGGCTGGCTGCATGGAGGGAATGTGTAATTATAAGGTAGGAGTTCATTCTATCATGTGGCTCTGTACCCATTAGTCAGGTGCATCATCCCTTCCCTCCATCTCTGCTGGGAAATTATTACTACCTCATAAAAATCCTTTCTTTGACTAAAGAAGGATTCAAAGGCAACTCTGCAGTTTCCTAGCTATTTGTAGACCCTTCCTGTGTTGACACATGACCCAGCATATGTTTCCAGGGAGCTTGAATACTTGCCATCCACTTTTATAAGGACACATCCACAAATCCATTGACAGAAGCACCACTAGGGAGGAGCGACCGGGTAGTTGCCTGGGTGTGTGTTAGGGGTAGCAGGAGAGTGGGGGCTGATTAAAAAACAAAAAAGCTGCCATTGCAGTTGCACAAATTGTGCTGGCAGTGCAGCAGTAGCTAGAAGTAGCTGCTCCTCCTGGGTGTCAAGCTTGTTGTTACTTTTCTGCCCACTGGCCAAGAATGAATTAGGTATAAAATCACTAAGACCCCATTCTTTGCTCGCTTACACTAATTTCACATACATGTAACTCCAGGGATAACATAGCACAACTCTGATGTAAGCAAAAATCAGAATGAAGCAAGCAGAAATCTAAAAGGAAAAGAATAAATAGCTTTGTTTAATATTTTATCTGAAAGCCAGGAAGGAACCTCACTCTCCCATACAGAAGATAAACTATTTATCAAGTCAGCCATGCTGTACTTCCAAAGGCTGCTTGCACCTGTCAGGCAGAATATAGGACCAGCCTGCTAGAATCAGCAACTTGTTCTAGCTTCCTGCATTTTCAGCCTCAGATGAATGTAGTGTTGGTTAATGGGATTTCTTACTAAAAGTGGTCCAGGGATAGAAAACATTTCAAGGGTGGAAAACCAGTTTAAAAAATTTAAAAATGCATTTGCTTTTAAAATTAGATTCATCTTTTTTTAGATGGGACTGAATAAAATATATTCACTTATCAGGAACCTAGCACTCAACAACCTGTTTATCAAGACTAGCAGCTTTTTTACATTACTAGCATTGGCTAGTTTACATGCAAGTGGGACTAGGACAGTTAGTTTGAGTTTCATCATGTAAACATTAAAAGGCTGAAGTAAAACAGAACATGAATAAGTATTTCATGGACCACTATATTTCACCTGAAATTTAACACAATTATGCACTGGTATGGACCCAAAAGCTCCCTATGCATTTTGTTGATTCATATTGATTAGAAAGCAAATTAGACTATAAACCAGCATGAAACTAAGCAGGGACTCTTCATTCATGAATTGTCCAACTTGAGGGGGAATGGAAAACAAGAAGCACATGTACAGATTGTGAAATGGGCCTATGCAGAATGTGTTTGAAGAATGAAGTGTATATTCTTTCTTTCTTGAACTATGAGTTAAGGATGCTAGCAAGACAGACAGATGAATACTTCTACCCGTCACAGGCCACAAACTTTCATTTCCCTTCAAATTTTAAAAAGCACTTAATACAAATAACATGGACCCTCCTTTTCTGGTTCCAGTCTTGCAGTGATTTTTATTGTCATTGTTTTGTGTTTTGAGACTTCATTTACTATAGCTATTTCTTGAATCAGGCAAATGCATTTAGTTTCAAATACTCAGCTACTCTTACTTTTAATCAGGCTTTACCTTACCTGAATCTAAATGCCAAGGGTCCGTAGCAGCCGACATTGGTGGGATTGTCAATGGAGATGCTCCGCAGTTGGATTCCACTAGCTCCCCTTGAATGTGGACGTGGGAGGAGGTGTTGGTAGGTCTCAAGGCTGCTTTGAGGGGGGCAATCTGGTTGAACTGCACTCTGGACAGGCAGCCAGTGAATCCAGGTGTATTGTATTTATATATATCTTGGTCAATCTTCCCAGTTTCTAAGAAGAAGACAGAATAGACTCATTAACACAGTTTACTACAGGCTCAATGCATTTGATTTTTTTTTTTAAACACCCACCTTCTGGAAAGCCAGCATATTTATGACCTTGACACACTTCTCTGCTGCTCGAGTGTTAAAATGAGAAACTTGACTGGGAAGGATCCAACCCCAGGATCCAACTCTTCTTCAGATAAAGAAGAGAACTGCAGCTGTCAAGACATTTTCAGTTGATTTCTCTCTTCACCCATCTGAACTGCTGGTGTGACTGCTTCCCTTCATTCATCTTGGCCTGCCTCCTCCCACCCTCGCTCTGGCACCCCTCCTCCCCTGTCATGGACAGCACTGTTGCACATCTGTGCTTGCCATTAATGATCATTCCTTTCTGTGATTCTCTTCTCCTCCACCTCATTTCCTTTTCAGTAAGATCAAGAGCTCCCTGGAAGTATCCTCTTTCTAGTTTCCTATTACTGGAAATTTTGAAAAGCTGAGTGATTGCCTGTTTGAGACTATACAGCATTCTAGAGCCTGTAACCAAAGTGTGGAGAACCTGATGTCTCCTGACAATCTCATCTTCCTGATGTCAATTAATAAACACAATGCCAAGTTGTACAAAGTGCACGAAAGACTTGGTGATACAACCCCTAAACATTGAACATATACCTTTGCTGCAAGGAACCCTTGCAGCTCATAGATACAACTGTTACATTCCTGCCCCACACTGCCATTTAGTCATGAGTACTCTTCACAGTACATCAACAAATGCAAAGACAAAAATCAGTAGTCTGTATCAGTATTCTGCATTAGAGAGCAGATTAACATTTCAAGGCATTACTGAAACTTCAAACATTACACTTTCATTCCACTGAAGACTTCAGCTTCATTTTCTCCTCAGTTGTGCAGGGTAAATAGAAATAAAACATGGCAGAATAACGCTTACACTTCATAAAAGCAGATTAGCCTGGAGCCATCGAGGGAGTTGGTCAGATGTGCATTTCGGCTTCAATTTCTTTTCTCCCAGATCTCAGTTCCTGGGGTTGGCAGGAACTAAGAGTGAAGTTCTGGTCTCAATGAGATTTGTGGAAAAATTCTCACTGAACTTCAGGGAAAGATGGCAACTTGGGACTATATTGCCATGGATGGAGAAAGAGACACCTCAGTTTGCTCAACAGCTTTTCAGACTTAAATAGTGTTAACATGCCCCAAAACCAAAACAGGCGAAAGAGAAGGTATCTTACAGTTGGGGGGTTTGGAGAGTGGAAAGAAGGCTTTGATAGGGACAGTTTTCTGAAGAGAGGATGGTGGGCAGGAGGGGAAAATGTTTATTGTACAGCTGCATGCAACATTTGCATGAAAACCTCAAAATATATGAAACATCTGTTACTTGTTTGAAATTGTAACCCTTAAATTTTCTGACAATAGAGTGTTTTAACAAACCAACATGGAGCAACTATACAGTACATAGCACAGTAAGATTCCTGCTCTTTGCCACAGCCCTGTAGGTACTATTATCATTCAGATATATCCTTGCTTCCCACAACAATTATTTTGCACCAAGAGCAGAAAGTATTTGCTGTTCTGCATTGTTTCAGCATTATCCTACATGTAAAACATGACAGTTTCAAGTGAGTTTCTTTTGGAGGTTTTGGGTTAAACATTAAACATGGAAAGGGGCACAAATGAGAGAAACAAAGATAAGTTTTGAACGTAACCTCTTCTCCAGTAATTTCCCCACCCTACTCATTTATACTTTCTCTGTTTTCATATCAAAAAGATAACACACACTAGCCTAACCATTGGCAGTCCCGACTCAGTATCAGTTTGGTGCTCAAAGCCCTCTGCCAGAAGGAACTATGCTAGAGATTCCAGCAGTTTTGAACTAGATTCTTTATTGTATCCACAGATATGAGCCGAGTGGCTTTAGTTTGCTCATTTTCTCTTCTCCAGCTCCTGTGCCTTCATCAAATCTAGGTTTTATTGACTATACTTCCATTTCATACATTGTCACCAAGAAGTGACTGTCATCTGAGACAAAGGGGGGATTAAACCCATTAAGATCATCATACGAGTCCCTCATCCAGCCCTCCTTTCAGAATATGCACATACATGACCCCTATGAATGACTTCAATACTGGCATTATGTTTTTATAGTAATTTTGTTTGCAATCAGCCCACATTTCACAGGCAGCACCTAGAAACAGTGAAGAGGACAATGCTCATGAATTTGAATTTGCTTCCTGTAAGCTATATCAGTCTTTGCAAGAGGCAAGATTAATACTTGACCTAATGCTAAAGTGCCTCTTCCTAAAGTGAAATAAATATTCATTGCATACATACAGAATGCATACAATTTATTCCTGAGAAACTGTTTTCTAAAGAACAAAATTAGGTTATATGACAACTGATCCTTTATTTAAATACTGTAACCACTAAATGATTAATAGTGCAATAAATGACTCATTCATATTTATATGGATCTTGTTGAACATAATTCAGTAACAATGGTAAGAGTACCACTTAAAATCCTAATTAAATGATGATGACAAAAAAGCTACTAGGATGATGAGACAATTACATCTGTGCTACATTAGGAACCTTTCTACCATTTCCCTCTGAGTTAGTGAATAGAAAGTGACAAATGACTGATTCTAGCAGCACCTTGCCAAAGACTTCCATTTTCGTTAAAACATTCTACAAATGACAACACTGTGAAATTCCTCATGTAAATGTATGAGCGATTCACATCACATAACTGCTATATAGTGGTGGTTCCAATGTTCATTTTGTCCTATAATTATGAATGTCTCCCCAGCCCCCAGCCCCATCTATGCCCATGGGGCTTTGCATACTGCAGTTCTCCAATGTCAGCTATTGTATATAGTCTTCCATTTCCATTACAACCTGCTATAAACATATTCCTTTAAAAGTGTGACAGTTATATAATGAAATATGCCATTGTCACCATGGTTTGGTCTACTGTTCTTCTTGGGCACAGCAAAACAACAACGTGGAATCATTTAATTTAAAACAAAGAATGCACAATCTGACAGATTCCAGTTTTTAATTTTCGGTGTACTGCAGTCATACAAATGTAACCCTTCTGCTGGGCACTGGTTGGCAGCAAAAAGGGCTGGGTTCACATTTTGGGGTATCTCATAAATTACACCAGTGGCTCGAGCCCCTGCCCACAAATCTGGGAACACTAAATTTGCTGGGGTGTCCCATATAAACAAAGCCCTCTCCTTGCAAGCAGTGTAAGCACAAAAACCCAAATTTATTACCAAGAATAAAAACAAACAAAAAAGTAAACACTAAACATAATTTAAAAACTAACTGCAAAGCAAACTCTATAGGTGGCATCCCCTTGAGGGGGCTTCACCCATGCCCAGGCAATCTGGGACTTGGGGCTCCCCAATTGGTAGTTCTGGCAGCCTGCACCCCTATACCTGTACTTCAGCAATGGGCTGGAGAGGGGAGCCCACACTGGAGAGTCCTACGAGTTGCTCCTTTGGTTCACTGCACCATGGCTGTGTCCCTCCCCTACATTGGCAATTGGCTGCTAGGGGACCCCCCCGGTTGGCAATCTGCTGCTCCCCCAGACTCGGGAGGCACCAGACACCCATGAACATATGGCTGTGGTTCAGCCACACAGGCTGAAATGCAATAGCTGTAAGACAGCAAAAAGGGCCCAGGGCTGCAGCCTGGACATCCGGTCTCAACTATACCACTGTGCTGAGACACTACAGTTCCCAAGCACAGGGGGCCAGTAACTGCCAGGAGCCATTCCTGGTCAGTCTACTTTAGGAATTACTACCCTCATGGTATTATCCCCCTCAAAGCCTGTGTGGCCAAAACTGCCAGCAAACCTAGCAGGACTCTATTCCTGATCAGTTTGCTCCAGGGTTCAACAACCCCACTCAAGAAATAAAAAAAAAGAAAAGTGGGGGGGAGGAAAGAGGAGTCTCAAACTCTGAGACAGACTTTTTTTCCCTGTACCTGAGGCTTTCCCCCATCATGTAACTTTTGCTCACCACTCCAGTGAAGCAGCGTCCTCCTTCCCCCCCATAAAGAGCAGCTTTTCTGGCTCCCAATTCAGCTGTGCAGCTCTTAGCAGCACCAGGAAGAAAAGAGGGAGAAATCTTAGTTGAGTTGTTCTTATATACCTTGTATGACATTACCCAAGCCTTGTTCAATTACCAAGTGTCATGCTTCAGCCTGTCTCTCATTCAGTCTGCCTGAAGGATCTTCTGTTTCCTCTGGCTAATGAAGCCAGAGCGTTTTACATATTTTGCCCAAATACAGGCCCCAGCTTGTCATGTGCTGAGCACATGGTCAGAACAACAGGGGCCATCTTGCCCACATAAAACACACACAAAAACACCACAATACACAACCAAAAGAACACACTTTACCACAGCAAGTGCGCACGCGAGTGTTACATTAATACAGCTAATTTGGCTACTTTAGGGTCCAATTCTCTTACTCCCACTGGGAAGCACCTACATTCCCTTGTGTGCTCAGTTTCAGTAATGTTACTTGTGGAGTGATGTTTGCAAAAAAAATCAAGCCCTACAATCCTTTGTGTGCTAACCAGGCAGTTTGCCCTTAAGCAAAACTCCCAGGAAAATCAATGGGAGCTCGAGCCAATCTGATCTTTTAATGATAGAATTTTCAAAATCTCTAATAGCAGATAATTAATCTCCCTGGAGCACTGCTTCTAGTTTTGGAGGCAACTTGTCTGGAGCACTGTGCTTTGTCAGAAGATGTCACTGCCTGGTATGACAAGTCTGCCGTGTAGAAAAGCTGAACATGCAGTCAACCAATAAGAAATTCCAAATCCTGCCTCCCTCCCAGACTTAGGTGCCTCCTTGGAGCCCAGTGGTACTTAGGTGCCCATGAGACACTGGGAGTTAGGAATACAGCCTCTGAACGAAAGCTTTCTAGGAAATGACAACAAATGAAAAACAATGCTGGAGGCTGCAAATGAGAGAGGAACCAGGG